TGCTGCAATCCACTCACCCAGCCTGAAGGGATTTTGTTTTGAGGCCAAGTTCACATAGCTGAGGATGACCCCAAACTCCTGAATCTTCTGCCTCTACCACCAGAACACTGAGATTTCAAGTAGGGATCACAATGAACAGTTCCCATTGGAAGGTTCCATTGGGAGGAGGAAGCTTATCTAAGTGTTATATTAGATCCTTCCAGACAGGTGGTAGCTTTTGGTGACCCAGGAGAGTGCAGAGAGCTGACCAGGAGCAAGGATCAACCATGGAGAAATTGATCGGTGGTGTCTCACTTAGCTTTAACTGTTAACTTGACATCGCCTAGAGTCGCCTTAATTAAGGGACTGTCTGGGTCAGATTGGCAATCGGCATGTCACAGGGAAGAACATTCTCTTGATTTGTATTGATATAGGAGAGCCCAGCCCACTGTGGGTGGCACCATTCCCTGGGTAGGTTGTCCCGGGCTATGTAAGAAAGCCAGACAAGCATGAACCTGTTGGAGATCCAGCAAGGAGCATCCCTGGTGATTCCTATTGTACTTCCTTGACTGAGAGTGAGTTCTCTCACACAGCTTCCTTCTGGCCTCCCCATACATGTGCCATGCTGCGCGCGCGTGCGCGCGCGCGCACACACACACACACACACACACACACACATCTCTTCCCTTCCACAACAATGGGAGATAAAATGTCTTTTAAATACTTTAAGAGTGAGCAAGGCTAGCAGACACAAGAGGCAAACTCTGAGTCAGAAAACGATATCAGTGGTCACCAGGGGCTGGGGCAGGGGAAAATGAAAGTCTCTAGAGCAGTGGTTCTCAACCTTCCTAATGCTGCAACTCTTTGATACGCTACGGTGACCAGGCCCCCACCTCCACACCAGCCATAAAATGATTTTCATTGCTACTTCATAACTGTCATTTGTTAGTGTTAAGAATCACAATGTAAATATCTGATTTTCCAATGGTCTTAGGCGACCCCTGAAAAAGGGTCATTCTACCACCCCAGAAGGTTGAGAACCACCAGAAGGTGACCCCCAGGTTGAGAACCACCGCTTTGGCAGACTCAGGACTTATGATTGACATGATCGAGCATGCCTAGGACACGTTGGGTGTGCTTAAGACTACTGACCTGAACTTTGTTCAGATGTTTCAAATGGTACCTTTTTGTTATGTGTGCTTCAGAAACTTCCTGTGTTGGCATAAAACCCCTCAGCAAACCCCACTGAGGCTGGCTCTATTACACCAGCTTCAAGACAAGCCAGGGAACTTACATTTTCACAGGCTCCCAGGTGACTCGGACTCTGAGGATGCCTGGCTCGGAGGCAGCCCCTGTTGTTCTGTTTTCTAATTGGAACACACCATATGCACTATTCGCTCAGTCCCAGCTGCCACAGCCCACACGTTCCCAGGGAGCAGCAGGTCCCTTATCTCAGCAGCTGTTGGCAGGGAGTGATGTCAGTAATCAGATTGGGAGAGGGGGTGGCTGATGGCAGCAGCAGTAATAAAACCCTGATTTGGGCATTACAGTTGTCACCCACCGCTTACCTGAAATTTTGCATTATACAGTTTGGGTTACCTTCAGTTAATTACGGTGCCAATATTTTAAAAATTAAGTAGAAACTTCCAAAAACAAATAGTCTATAGGTTTTAAAGATTTGTTTAGTTCTGTGCTCATACACTCACATAGACGCAGAGAAACACATACACACCCAAACACACACACAAACACTGATGCACACGCACACAATTTCTCAGGCTATAACTTAGACCTGACGTGCAAATTAATGTTCTAGAACACTCTCAAGCTCAGACCAATTCTTTATGCATCCACAAGTTGTGAGATGAGAGGCTTTGATTATTCTCAGCCCGCAGCCCTCACGACCGTGAGGGTGGAGAGGTGAGATTGTTGTGCAGTGTGGATCCATGAACTCCACCAGTCCCTGGCCAAATGGCCACCTTCCAAGCCCATGTCCATGTGGCCCAGGGCTTCTTGCGTTGCTTTTTAAAGTAGGTGGAGCGAGTCTCCTGGGTTAGCCCTTTGTTCTTGTACAGGGTCTTGAGACAAGGGAATACCAAGGGAGTATTCTGTAACACTGGGGGAGCATTAGGAGTCTGGATAGAATTCCGTAGTAACAACCTCCCCTGTTAGTTTGAACCCTTCTCATTTCCAGTTTACACTAAGCTTGGGTGGCAGTTGTTGCTTTTATTGCTAAGAAGCAGTTGCTCCCCCCCTTTGCTCGTCCCTTCTGATCATGGGTGGCATCTGCTTCCTCCTCCCCCTCCCCAACTCCCCCAAATACTGTTTATCAAAACCCTCAGCCACATAAGGATTCCCAAATGGCACCTGGCCAATTTAGTATTGGATTTCCTCTAGTCCTGGAAGGTAAACATTTATCTCTGCAGAAATAGGTCTTTGCTTTCTTATTTGAGGAAAAAAAAAAACTTACACCAAGTGTTAGTCTTATTTAGTTTATTTTTTTTTTCCAGTGTTGGGAGTGGAAGTGCTCTACCACTGAGCAGCACCCCAGTCCTTTTTATTTGTGTGTGTGTGTGTGTGTGTACTATATGCATGCATATGCACACATATATTTCTGTGTAGGCATGTATTGAGGTCAAGGGTTGATGCTGGGTATTTTCTTCCCGAATCTCTCTCCATTTTAATCCCTTGAAACAAGGTCTTTCACTAAACCTGGTGCTAGACGGGCCGTCAAGGGATCTCCTAGTATCCGCCCTCCCCACCTACTAGACTATTGGGATTACAGGCTCCTGCCACCATGCCTGCCTTTATAATAGGTTCCGAGGATCCAATCTCAAGTCCTCACGCTTGTGCAGTGAGTGATTTAGCGCGAGCCATCTCCCCAGGCCCATTCCTTTCTCAGAAGCTATTTTCCAATGAATAGTATTTAATCCATCGCCACTGGCAGGATTTCCTCTTGGCCACCTTATTAACTGCTTTCTAGTAGGCTTATCATTCTTTGCCCAGGTGAAAGAGTTCACCTGCCCTGCAGTGGTATACTTCTCTGTGTGTTAATGTGTGGTGAAGTAGGGTGTGCACGTCCCCGCTACCCCCTGCCTAACTTTACCCTATCTCCCTTAATTCTCCCAATCCAAATCAATAGCTCCTTTCTGTGGCTCGTGGAATCACTTTCATCTGTAGCCATTTTTTTTTTGTCATCTCTGACATGGCTTCCTCAGGCTGTCTGCCCAGGTCTGAAACCCCCATTCAGATGCCTTTAAGCTGTGTAGAGGGAAAGTAGAGAAATAAGAATCATTGTGAGGGGCCACAAGATGGCTCACAGATAGCAGCGCTTGCCAGCCTGTGTGACAGCTTGAGCTCCCTCCTCAGACCCGTACGCTGGGAAGAGAGAAGCCCTTCCTGCAAGTTGCCCTCCGACTTCTACATACACGCCGTGGCCCATACTGGAGCGGGGAAGGGTTAGCGTTTAAACAGATGAGTGTTGGCATGGAGGACCATGCACAGACCTTCTCCTCCTGTCATCCCAGCCCTTGACTGACAGGAGTTTCCATAACACTCTGTCTTTTTTTCCCTCACTTCTCCCTGTTCATCAGAACACCCCATCCTCTCTTCTTCCAGCAGCCACATGGCTGTACCTTTAAGGAACAAAACCCATGACACAGAGAGGCCAGCCTGAAAGCAAATGCCTTTAAATTGGCAAAAAAGCTGCCAGGTATTCTTAAGGTGCACAGGATCTATACAGTTTCTGTGAAAGGAACTGTTAGAGCACTATACAGTAAAGCCACATTGAAGAGCCGTGTACAGTGGTGCATGCCTCTAGGACTACCGCTGAAGGGGCAGAGGCCGGAGGATCCCTGCATCTAGCTGAATCAGCAAGATCCAGGTTCAGTGAGAGGTTCTGTCTTAAACAAGCAAGCAAACAAACAAACAGAAAGCACAAGGTGGTGGCACACACCTTTAATCTCAGCACTAGGGAGGCAGAGACTGGCTTCTTGCTGAAGAGGATGTTGAGTTCTCCGTGGAACGTCTTTTCTCTTTTCTTCCACTTCCTTTACACCCTTTATTAGTTTCTTTTCTAGTGGCGATGGCGAGATACCTGATAAAAGCGATGTGAGGAAGGAAGGGCTTATTGCGGCTCACGGTTTGAGGGTGCACAGTCCATCCTTGGGAGGACGGCATGAGAGAGTGGGGCAACTGGTCCTCTTGCACCTGCAGTCGGGAAGCAGAGAGGGATGAAGGCTGGTACTCAGCTCGCCTCCTCATTTTCATTCAGTCCGGGATCCCAGCCCATATGCGGTGCCATCCACGTCCAGTATGGGGCTTCCTGCTTCCATCAACCTAAGAGGTTACCTCATCGATGTGCCCAAATGTATGTCTTTCTAGATGAGTCTAGATTCTGCCAAATTGACGGTCAGTGTTAACCAGTTACATGTGTCATAGCACAGCTGTCTTAGATGTGGACGTGGAGATGTATTCTAGCTTCCTAACTGCCAGAGAGTTAAAATTCTTCACATGCCAACTTTTTTTTTTTTTTTTTTGCAATCAAGGAACTTTCTAGAGGCGTATAAATATCCTGGTGTTTTATAATATCTATTTTCAATGCTTTTAAGCTATGCATATTTGTATATTTGGTGTGAATATGTACAAATGTATGCAGATGTCTATGGAGGTCAAAAGAGAGCATCAGGTCCCCTGGAGCTGGAGTTTCAGGTGGTTTTGAGCTGCCAGTGTGGGTGCTGGGACCTGAACTCTGGCAGTTTCCTTGAAGTGTTAGGACTCTGAACTACTGAATATCTACCCAGCCCTATCACAGTGTTTGGGATGCAGGTCTAAGGTGATTTATTCATGCATGTCTTGTATTTTGTCCTTTATAGAGGAGCTGAAGGCCCCCTTGGAAGAGTATGTCCACAAACGCTACCCTGGGCTGGTGAAGGTGGTACGCAATCAAAAGAGAGAAGGCCTGATCCGAGCACGCATCGAGGGCTGGAAGGTGGCCACTGGACAGGTCACTGGCTTTTTCGATGCCCATGTGGAATTCACTGCTGGCTGGTAGGTCATGAGCCAAAACGTATTATGTAGCAAGAGCTGAATCTGGGAGGTGGGGCATTTCACCTGTTTCTTCCGGAGCCACTGGAAGAAAGGAGAAGGGGTGCTTGGTGAGAAGGCCATTGGGATAAAGTTCAAAAGCAAGAAAATGAATCACGGGCTGGTTTTCTAGACACTGTTATTGTTATCATCAGTCTGTGAGTCACTTTTCTCATCACTGTGACCAAACATACCTGGCTAAAGCAACTTACAAAAGAAAGAAACTTTAGCTCCTGTCTGAGGGTGTGGTCCGTCATGATGGGGAAGTCATGGCAGCAGGAGTGAGAGGCAGCCACAGTCAGGGAACACAGAGAGATGAACACTGGTGCTCAGCTCACTTTCTCATTTTTATTCAATCTAGGACCTCAGCTCATAAGATTATGCCATCTATACTCAGGGTGGGTCTCCCCACTTCAGTGAACCCAAGTTAGAAGCTACTTCACGAGCATGCCCTCCCAGACATCGGTTTTGATGCTAGATCCTGCCAAGGTAACAATTAGGATTAACCATCATGATCATTGTGGTGGTTAGTAAATTCAAAGCCAGCCTGGGACACGTGAGTCCCTGTCTCAAAAATAAGGCATTTCTCTAAAACAGTAGCAACAGATAGGGACTGGAGAAATGACTTGGTGGCGAAGAGTACTAACTTCTCTGGCAAAGGACCCAACTGTGTCTGGGTTACGTATGGGGTAGAGGGAGCTATGTGTGCGTGTACAGGTGTATGTGTGCATGCGTATTGAGGTCAGAGATAACCTCGGGTGTCATTCTCCAGGTGTTATCCACCCTAGTTTTCAAAGCAGGGTTTCTCACTGCCATAAAACTCACCTCGTAGGCTAAATGACTGTCCAGTGAGTCTCAGGGAACCTCCTATCTCTGCCTTCCCTGGGCTGGGATTACAAGGGTGTGCCGCCATGTCTGGCTTTTTTACACATGTTCTGAGGATTGAACTTGGGTCCTCATGCTTGCATAGAAATTACTTCACTAATTAACCTATTTCCCCAGCCCTTCTCCCATCTAGAGATTGGCCTCTACTCCCTGCCTGTCAACCAGTCCCCTCCCCTCCATCACTTTCCCTCCTAACCACTTCTCCCATCTCACACCCACTCTGCTGGGACGGCCCCCTCTCTACCTCGGTGCGGTGCATTCTCAGTCACCCTCAGGAATGCAATGGATCTCTGAATTCATTCTTGGGTGTGTTTGACTATGTAATCCCTGTGTAATCCTAACTGGCCTAGAATTCAATACGTAGCCCAGGCTAGCCTTGCATTTAAAGTGAGCCTCCTGCCTCCATCTCCTGAGAGCTGGGATTACGGGGTGCACCACCTCACCTGGCCACTTACTGTGTCTGTGACGCTGGTCTAGGCTGGGGACGTGCCTGGTTCAGGTGGCTCCTCTCTCGGAATTTTCCATTGTCACACTGAAGTAGTCCCGTCAGTCAACACAATGGGCATTCCAAACTGGCAATATTTGGCATCTTCCTTGAAAGGCATCATCTAACTTGGGCCTGCAGAGTCTAATTCCTCTGTGGTCTAATTCTAACAAGGCTCTGATGTCAGCCTTTGCCATGCCGACTTCCTTTCTACACTGCAGCCAAAGGATTCCACGTCCCTTTCTGAATTAAAACCCTTATGTGTTTCCTCATTAGAGACAGCATGTCTCACCATTTACTGGGTAAAAGAATCTCCACGGTGACCCAGGACAATAAAGATGCCTCTATTCTCCTTGTGGCTTTTGAACTGGGTATTTCTTTGGCTCCGTTTGAATGTCTTCTGTGTCCTGGGATCTAAGGAGAACTTCAGCCTGGGTCTGAAGAGAGAGGGAGCTGTTAATAAGGTGTGTGAGCAGCTGAGTCAGCACCTTGGAACCCAGGTGAAAAAGCCAGGCTGGTCGTGCACACTGCCCTGGAGAAGCCGAGTAAGGAGCTAGCCTAGCCTGGTTATGAGGCCTCAGTAACAGGAGAGATGGGGATCGAAGAATTGACAGTCGAGGCCGTTACCTGGCACACATGAACATTTACATGTGTGTGCACATGCCTTCTGTGCCGGTTAATTTTTATCAACTTGACACAAACTAGAGTCACCTGGGAAGAAGGAACTTCAGTTGAGGAGTTGCCTCCATCAGATTGGCCTACGGGTATGTCTGTAGGGTCATCCCTGGGCGGGTGATAGAAGTATATTATAGGCCATCGAAGAAAGTAGCCAAGCAAGCCAGGGGAAGCAAGCCAGTAGCACATAGCCCATGATAATTTGGCTCTGGGCCGTCGACGTTTCAACTTTCCACAGCCACATGCCATGGAGCATGTATGGAGATGCAACAACACCTTGCAGGAACTGGTTCTCCCCTCCCACTATCTGGATCCCAGAGATGGAACTCAGGTTGTTAGGCCTGGTGGCAAGCGCCTTTACCCACTGAGCCACCCCGCCAGCGCAATCACGAAAGTTCTAGACAACCGGTCAGACATATAGAGTCTCTGACCCAGGGGAGAGCTTCAGTCCACCCTTGAGATAGCTATCCAAGTTTCTCCTTAGCCCTGACACTGTTACCTATGTCCACATCTCTTTGGCAGAGCAACTCACATGTGGAAGTTAGCCCCCATTAGGGGGATCAAGATTTGTCAAGTGAGTAGAGGACACACAGTAGGGTTACAGGACACTCCAGGGTATAGTTGGGGATCAGGAAATGAGAAAGGTCCTGGGCTGTGGAAACACTGTTTGAAGGTGATGGGGGATGGGTCCCCTGAGAGAGTGCTTGCTGTGTAAGCATGAGGGTGTGCATCCAGATCCCCAGCACTGATGTCACTGAAGGAAAAAAAAAGGCCAGGGATGGCCCTGTGTGTGCCTATAACCCCGATGTTGTCATGGGTGGAGGGAGACAAGAGGTTTGCTGAGGCTCATTGGCTGCCAGGCTAGTTCTAGGCTCACCGGCAGACCCTGTTCTGAGTTACTAAGGTGGAAAATTATGGAGCAGGACACCTGACGTCCTCCTCTAGTCTCCACTTTGACGCACAGGCAGGCACATCTGCATACACACATGCACACGCACCACACACACAAAGAGTACAATGCATTGTCGTCGCAAGTGTGGAAGCATCACAGTGAAACCCATTGCTTTGAAGGCTCACTTAAAATATTAATTTCGTCTTTCAAATAAAAGCGCAAAAGAGGGACTGGGGAAACGATTGGTCGGTTGGGGTCTTGTGAGGCAAGCATGAGAATCTGAGTTCTGGTTCCCAGCACCCACAGGAAAGGCTGGGTACAGTGGTGAGTGCCCGTAATCCCCACCCTGGGGAGGCGGAGACAGGCAGATCCCTGCGGTTTACTGGTCATCCAGCCTAGTGGGATCCATGAACTCTGAGTTGATTGAGAAACCCTGTCTCAGATAAATAAGATGGAGGGCCCAGACTGGAAAGACGACTTGATGGTTAAAAGTGGTTGCTGCTCTCCCAGAGGACCTGAGTTCAGCTCCCAGCACAAACACCAGGCAGCTCACAGCCAGCTCCTGGAGAACGCAGTCCCACACACAGACAGTACACACATATACATGAACAAAAATATCGTTAAAAAGAAAACAGTAAGAAGAAAGTGGATCAGGATCAAGAATGACACCTGACAGTGACCTCCGCATATGTGAGCACACCCATGTGTACGCACACCCATGTGTACTTGTACACATATGTTCTCACACACATGAATACGTACACACAAAGAACACCACACGCATGCAATACCAAATTTAAGAAAGAGTAAAAAAAAAAAAATTTAAAAGAGCAGGAAGTGAGCCAGCCTCCTTACTTAGAAAAAGGAGGCATGGTTTCTCTGGACAGGTGACATTGTTCCTAAGCTCCTTGGTGGCTCTGCTTTCTGCTGGCTGCCAAGAGCAGCACACACACACACCCCCCCCCCGCCCCCGGGGGGAATCTCTCCAGTGACGACATGAGGGAGAACGCTGTAGAGGCTGAGGGGAATAATTTCCCTCTGGCTTCCACCTCCACCATGTGTGTAAAAAGTATCGAAGGCAGTCAATGGCCCAGGGTATATTTTATTGCTCATTTTAAATAGAAAGATGAGCTGAGCCAACAGGTAATTCAATAGCTGCAAATGAAAAGAGATTGTTGCCGGCTGTACGTTCTCATTATTCTTCCAAAGAGCACAAAGAAATGGGATTTTTCCACTTGACTCTTTTCCAAAGTCTACGCTCTGGTCCAAGCGGCAAGATTAATGTCTCGGCTTCCAGGAGCCATCTTGAGCTTCTAGGATGCTGAAAGGGATTCCTTCCTGGGATCGGCCTCACGGACACACGGTGGCTGGACCATCTGCTCTGGGCTAAGCCAGCCAGCTAACACCTTGAAACCCGAGCCTGTTCAAGCCGGCTGCAGCCTTGCTGGAGGAGGCACAGCTGGGAGTCGAGATTTGCCTGACTCTGGGTTTAATTAGTTCCAAGCCTTCTGCTGCAGACCAATCAGATCCTTTTAAGCAATCAATTAGATCATCAATTAAAACAACAAAAATAGTCGAGCCCACACAAAGAAACTAATGAAGCTGCTTATTAAATCCAGCCCAGGGATGACCTATTTGAGGATAGGAAATTTAGTACCAGCAGAAAGAGAAAGAAAAAGACATCAGCAAGAGGTGGCAGACTGTGCTCTGAGGAGGAAACCGTATAGAACTGCTGGTCATACAGAGATGGGAACTGTGCTTGTGATGAAAAAAGTAAATAATAAATTAAAACGGCTCGGGGCTGGAGAGATGGCACAGCACTTACAGCTCTGACAGAGGACCTGAGTTTGGTTCCCAGGATGCACACCAGGGGGCTTACAACCGCCTGGAGCTCCCTCTTCTGCCCTCCAAGGACCCTGAAGTCACAAGCACACATCCACAAAATATTCCTGCCAGGCTTCTCCTGTCCACACAGGCATCATGATAGTGATTTTGCTACGAGTGAGTACTGCACACTTGAAAACACGTCCAGAGTGTTCATGAATACGGATCCGTTGGTAGAGGGCTTTCCTAGCGTGCGCTAAGTCCTAGGTTCCATCCCGAGCACCATATAAACCAGGCATTTTAAATTAGAGGCTGAGGCGTGCTTCTAATTCCAACACCTAGTAGGTAGAGGCAGGAAGGTTGGCAGTTCTAGGACAGCCTGGGCTACATGGGAGTTCAGGGCCAGCCTGGGCAACTTAACGGAACAGTCTTAAAATAAAAACATAATCGGGCTAGGGATGTAGTTTGATTGGTCGACTGCTTGTCTAACAGGCGGGAGACCCTGGGCTAGATCGCCAGGCTTACATAGAAGGGCTGTGGTGGTGCGTTCTTGTCATTGCAGTACCAGGGGAGTGGAGACAGGAGGACCAGGAGCTCAGGTTCCTCCTCTTCTACACAGCCTTTGAGGCCAGGCTGGGGTACGTGGAAGCCTGACTCAAAACAACCTGGAAACCAAACCTAGAAACTGTCATGGCCGCCGCATACTCAAACTCTCGTCAGTCACACGCTTTGAGTACCTCGGTTTCCTTCCCAGTTCCAGCCTTCGGTTTGTCTTCATTTGCGGCAGTTTTAGAAGCCTGCTGGCTGACGCGTGCCCCCAGGAGACAGAGTTTGACGGTGACTTCTCTGCTTTTGCAGGGCCGAGCCTGTCCTGTCCCGCATCCAGGAAAACCGGAAGCGGGTCATCCTCCCCTCCATCGACAACATCAAGCAGGACAATTTCGAAGTGCAGCGCTACGAGAACTCCGCCCACGGGTACAGCTGGGAGCTGTGGTGCATGTACATCAGCCCCCCGAAAGACTGGTGGGACGCCGGCGACCCCTCTCTCCCCATCAGGTCTGTGGCAAGTAAGCTCTGGTGGGGCTGGGAAAGATCTGCCGGACATTGAGACCCCAGGCCCAAGGGGCAACTTGAGCCACGGAGCAAGGCTGGGAGAGGCCGGCAAAGGCTGGCGCGGTGGTGTGCAAGCAGCTCCCCGAGGAGTGATGGTGCCTTAGGACCATCATTCCTGGCTGAGGGAGACAATTGCAGTTTATTGCAGCAGCTACCCTTCTTAGGCGCCGCTTTCATATGGCTGCAATGAAAGTTTAAAATTGGTAATAATCCAGTTTTTCAGCCTTCCTCGGGTGTTAGACGGCTTCACAGTCTATGATCTTGCCTACCCTTGGTTAACCTTTGTGAAAACACTAAATTATCTCAACGTCTCGGCTCAACATCGGCAATAAAATCGCATCTGCAAAGATTTTTCCTATAGTGTCGCATTGACAGGTAGTAGAGATCGGGGTATGGCGTGGGGGAGGAGGCAACATCGTTCTACTGAGTGTCAAACTGACTTTTTGTTTTAATTTTTATTTCTGATAACTGGGGGAGATGTACTTGTGCCGTGGCACACGTGTGGAGGTCAGAGGACAGCTTTGTAGAGTTGGTGCTCCCCTTTCACCTATATCTAGGTTCTGGGATCAAAGTTGGGGTGGCAAGCTTGCATGGGAAGCACCATTATTTGCTGAACTATCACACACACACACACACACACACACACACACACATACGTCAGAGGATGTCGGCCATCATTCCTCAGGCATCTTCATTTGAAGCAGTGCTTCTTATTGGCATGGAACTTTGCCACGATGCCAGGCTAGCTGGTCAGCGAGCTTCCAGAGAACTCCTGTATGTGTCTCACATCTCATTATTACTGCGATTACAACGGTGGTGCCTGGCTTTTAGGTGGTCTCTTGGGATCAAACTGGGGTCATCACTTCTGTGAGACAATCACTTTACCAACTGAGCCATCTTCCCAACTCTTTTTTTGTTTGTTTGTTTGTTTTCTTTTGTTTTTCAAGACAGGGTTTCTCTGTGTAACAGTCCTGGCTGTCCTGGAACTCCCTTTGTAGACCAGGCTGGCCTCAGACTAGCTGAGAGCCATCTGTTTCTGCTTCCCAAGTGCTGGGATTAAAGGAATACACCACCATGTCCCAGAAGTCCAGTCCCAAACTCTTAAAATAGGAAATAGTCTGTCTTTAGTCATTAGAGGTGGAAAGGGCAGCTTCTTCAAGTCTGACTTTAGTGAAAGTTTTTTTTTTTTTCATATCAATCAGGAAAGCAAGGAGAAAGCAAGGTGGGTGTAGACTCTGTCTTGGTTTGCAAATCTGTGATAAACAAAATATGTTAGTTTTTCAAATTCCTATGACAAGTATCTGAGAAAAAAATCAACTTAAGAAAAACAAGATGTGCTTTTTTTGGAAACAGGGTCTCACTATGTGGTTCTGGTTGTTCTGAGACTCACTATGTAGACCAGGCTGACCTCGAACTCACAGAGATCCTTTCTCTTCTGCGGCCCAAATGTTGGGATTAAAGGTGTGTGCCGCCACACCTGGCTGGAAAACAAGATTGGTTTTAAGTCATCATTTCAGAGGCAAGTCTATTATGGCAGGAGCAGCATGGTAGAGGGGAGCAGCTCACAGCCTAGAGGCAGGAAACAGAAAGAGAGAGAATGCCTGTTCCAGCTGCCTTTCTCTTCCCTCCCCCTTTAATTCCAGCAGGTACCCAGCTTTGTGGCATGGTGCTGCTCACATTTAGGGTGGCTCTTCCCTCTTTCTCACTTCTGTCGCAGACACACCCGGAGATGTGTTTTAATAATCTCCTAGAAGTCTCTCAAGCCAATTAAGTCAATGGCCAAAATTAACAACCTATCCTAGCTAGCTTGACACAGCCTTGAGTCACCTGGGAAAAGAGTCTCGGTTGAGAGATGGCCTAGATCAGATTGACCTATGGACACTTTGGTGGGAGATTGTCTTGATTGTTCATTTGTGTAGTAAGGCCCTGTCCACTGTGGACGGCACCATTCCCTGAGCTAGTGGTCCTGCATTAGTAAGCTAACCCAGCATGGGCTGGGGAGCACAAGCCAGTAAGCAGCATTCCTTAAGATTTCTACTTCCGGTTCCTTCTTGAGCCTCTGCCCTCAGTGATAAGCTGAGACCTGGAAGTATAAGCCAAATAAACCCTTTCCTTCACTACGTTGCTTTTTGTTTGGAATATTTATCACAGCCACAAAAAGAAAACTGGAGTATCATCCCACCGGAGATGGGTTTGAGAAGTCTTTTTGACTTTCCGTCTCAAGCTAGAAGCTGAAAAGCTGCCTGAGAGTGTCACAACCAATGAGCAGGTGCAAAAACCACGGAAGGTGGACTTTGAGGGCCATCTCAAAGGAAGCTGTGTCATAGCTCAGTTCAGCTCTTTCTGCAGCGTTCCAGAATGATCCCTCGGCTGTCTGCAGGTCGTAGCGTAGACTCATCACTGAGGCATTCCCTGAGAGCCAAGGTACAACCCACAGAGATATTTAAACTTTATTAGAGAGTGTGTGAAGACCCAATGACCTTCGGGACTTAAAGACATTAAGTTTCGTATTTTTAGTCAAATGATCCTTCCTCCCTCATGTCCTTCAGACACAGGGAGAGGCTGGTCCCCTGTTATGACTGAAAGAATGAGGTGATAACTGGGAGGGTTGGTCACAGTAAGGAACTTTGATGGCCTACTACCATTGTGTGTGTGTGTGTGAGTGTGTGTGTGTGTGTGTGTGTGTGTGTGTATAATAGTGACAATAAAACAAGGGCCTTAAACAAGTTCTGCTGCTAGCTCTTCACTGGAGTATTCCAGACAAGTATTCTTCCTCTCAACCACGCCCCCAGCCCCTCAATGTAAGATTCTAGGCAAGTGCTTCTCCTGAGTCAAGCCCTCGGCCCCTCAATGGGGAATTCTCAGAACTCTATGGTTGATCCAGAGCCCCAGTTATTCACTGGAGGTTTCTAGGCAGGTGTCCTTACACTGAGGTGTCTCTGCTCTTGCCCCTCAGTGGACACTTGTTCTGCCTCTGAGGCACACCATCATTCCCTCGTGGAAGGATTCTCATCAAAAGAGCGATCGCTGAGCTACACTCTTAGCTAAGGTGAAATGGCCGGTGGACATGGGCCCGTCTGCGCAGGAAGGCTCTGTGTGAAACAGGAACTGGCGTCTCTCAACTTGCTGCCCCATTACCAGATGATTAATATGTGCTTTAAAGACTCAAGAACATAGAGTTGTGATCCTGAGCCATTAATATTACATGAGTTTCCGATGTACAAAATGGGAGCATGCACCAGTGGTCTCCTCTTTGTGTGTCTTTACTTACCAGACACTTAATTTGTTAATGGTTGGTAGGGAGATTTAATTGTCGGAAAGGAGTTTTATGGGCCAGCTGATATTATTAAGCTGATATAATGTGCTTTCTTAATCATGAGGACATGGTCATTTCTCCTCCATCCAGTAATGCCAAGATGTTAGTGGTTATGATTATACTCTATTGAAGGGTACAGGGAGCCTGTCACATTCCAAATAGCATAGCCTAGATAAAGCGTTGCATACTAGATTTCCAGGTAGGGGATGGAGGATAGGAAGTTTCACCCTGGGGGCCCAAGAGCGCTTGCTGCTCTAGCAGAGGACCCAAACGCAGTTCCCAGAATCCACGTTGGGGCACCAAGCAATCACCTGTCACTCCAGCTTCAGGAAATTCAGTGCCCTCATCTGACACTGTACTTCCGTGCATAAACCCACACAGGTACACATCTGTGCATGTAAACAAAAACATCAAAACTTTCAGGAAGCTTTGCTTTAGGGGAGCATAGTTCATTTCTTTTCACTTTTTATTTGGGGATAGGGTCTTTATAAGTGGCATAGGCTGGCCTTGAACTTATTCTTTAGACCAGACAGGACCTTGTGATCCTCCTGCCTCAGCCTCTGGGACAGCTAAGATGACAGGCCTGCACCACCGCACCCAGCCTGTATTGTGCCCTCTGACCTAAGGAGCTATTCGCTAAAGTTTTCTGTTGGTTCTCTGGCCTTCATTGTCTACAGCTGAGACTTCAGGTGAGCGTGGGCAGGTGACCTCAATGAAAACAAAGGCCCCATGTAATTAGGGATGATTAGAAAACACATCCTGCCCAAGGAGGCACTTGCCTCCAGCCCCATGTGTTACTATACAGAGAGCCAAAATGGCTGGCCCCCATCCTTTTGAAAAGTCTTCTTTTCGTGTGTGTGTATATGTTTCTGTGTGAGTTTATGTCACATGTGTGCAGGTGCCCATGAAGTTCAGAAAGGAGCATCAGTTCCCTTAGATATGGAATTACAGTTGGTTGTGAGCTGCCCCACAAGGATGCTAGGAACGAAATATAGTCCCACTGGAAGAACAACAAGCTCTTTTAAGCATGGTGCCTTCTGAAACAGGATCTAGTGGAGACCTGATCTTGAGCTTGCTGTGTAGTTAAAGAGGACCTTAAATTCTTATCTTCCTACCTTCACTTTCAGAGAGCTGAGTATGTGGTGCTGAAGATAGAATCCAGGACTTCGTGTATGCCGGACACATGTTACATGAGTTGAGTTATATTCCCAGCTCTGTATTCCAGATCAGAATTTTTATGAAGTTTTCTGACTTCAAATGTCCAGGACTGCGTTGCCTTGTCAGGGTTTCTATTGCTGTGAAGAGACACCATGACCATGGCAACTCCTATAAAGGTAAACATTT